CCAAAATATTTGGCCCCTAAGTTTAATGGCGTAAAAATATATAGCCTAAAGCGTGACGTAAGTGTAGGGCTTTTTATTGAATAAAGAATTATTCAAAAATATGGTGTAATTGCTGACATCTTAGGCAACAAAGAAGTGTGTGTTTACGCTTTATTATAATAGTATAGAAGTGTAGACATAGATTGTATAGATTTCTTTTTTATAATATTAGTATAGAAGTATAGACTAGCAATATCGATAATTTTCACATCACTATAACGTTGTACATGACATAGCTTGACAATAGGAGTGGCAGCGCGCCCCGGGTACAATTATCGAGTTAATAGGGACGTATGAGGCAGTCTATCGATTTATATAAATTACTATTATAAAGTTTTCTTTTATGTAAATACTAGCTTTCGCCCGCGACTCCGTTCGCTTGAGATTAGAAAAACAAAACTGAGTAAGCTATTTGTTCTTCCAGACTATCCTCTACATCTATGCCAAATTTCATCGAAATCCGTTCAGTCGTTTAGGCTACAAACTCTAACAAACATCCATCTAAACTTTCGCATTTATAATATTAGTATGATTTTATTAACTAGTTGTTTGTGACTGTTCATGCGGAAATAAAAGTTATTAAATACTGGTTAGCGGCTTCATCAACATGAAATAAAAAAAAAGAAATATTTCATTGTTGTCAAATGTCAAATTCTCAATTGCAAATGTCAAAATTTCTTCCTTCCTTGCTTCCTTACTATTAACAGCTGGTACTCTACTCTATTCAAAATTTTTTTAACTCTAAGCATTAAAACTAAGGTGTAACCCTTGACCATCGATGTTATAATTAACATTGAGCTTGTAAAAAACGTCAAAGTTTAAATAGGATACGGTATTAGGTGCTTTATGTTGGTATTCCCAAATGTTTGTTTCGTTGCATTTGTACTCATTATATTGCACGCCCGAAGGGGTACTTATTGTTTTTTCTTTGTATAGATGTTTGTATAAATGTTTGTAGAAATTAATTACAATAAATAAATAAATATAGGTCTTTTTCCAATTTATTTATCCCCTAAGTTTAATAGCGTGAAAATGTATAGCCTAAAGCGTGTCGTAAGTTTATGGCTTTTAATTAAAGAAAGAATTATTCAATAATATGCTGTGATTGCATCAGACACAGACAAAACATTTCTAAATACGATTTTTGTTATCAGGAATCTGGAAACTTCTTTTCATATTACAAACAGACTCTTCAATCTATACTATTATAATAAAGCGTAAACACACACTTCTTTGTTGCCTAAAATGTCAGAAATTACAGCATGTTTTTGAATAATTCTTTTTTAAATAAAAAGCCCTACACTTACGTCACGCTTTATTCTACATATTTTCACGCCAATAAACTTAGGCGGTAAATATTTTGGATAAAAACCCATGTGGGAAAGAGACCATAAGTTGCTGCCAACATTAAGGAAGCAAGGTTGCCAAGGTTTTTCATGTCATGTCATTTTGACATTTGCTATTGATAATTTGACAAACGTAAACAAAAATATCGAGCGTCGGTGGCTCAGTGGTTTGAATACTTTACTTGTAATCTACAGGTCTTAGGTTCGAATCCGCCATGTACCAATGTGATTTTCGATTTTTCGAATTTTCATATGTACATAATTTACACGACGTTCTTACGGTGAAGGAAAACATCGTGATGCCTGCACATATCGACGAAGAAATTCAAAGATATGTGTGAAGTCAACCAACCCGCAGTGCAGCGTGGTTGACTATGGCCTAGTCACTAACTTAGGGTAGGCTCCGAGCCCCTCGGTGGGGACGTATAGTGAGCTGGTGATGATGATGATGATGAAACATAAATATAAAATTTTCATAATTTTATGCGGATGAAGTCGCATGGGAACAGCTAGTTTTATTATATGTATAGATAGATTTAATCCTTGACCAAAATATAGAAGTTCGTATATTTCGAGGCAATGTATTATTCAGAAGTAATGATTGATGTACTTATATAAATTGCAAATAGTTGTGTTACTACCAAAGTTACTTTTAACCTCGTTGCAAGGTACTAGGCAATTTTTCTTTAAGTTAAACACTGCGTATTCACGCGACTGTACACCCTGTATGTTAGTTATTTGAGTAACAGGCGATATAACACGCGGGCGAAGTCGCGAGCAACAGATTTATTTTTATATATGTAATGTGGTGGCAAACGAGCAAGAGGCCACCTGAAATGATGACCACTTCCCATAGACATCCGCAATTGCAGATGCGTTGCCTACCCTTAAACGACGGAGGAAGAGACGCACATAAAGAGGATTTTTCCCCTTCTTATACGTCTCCTTCAACTTTAAATCCACTTTTCCTTTCCATCCTTCTCTGAAGAAAATGGTGGAAAGGGAAAGGGAAAGGGACTAAAATTAGGCTTCCGGCACCACACTTATCAGACTGTACGCGGAATTGCTCCCACTTGACGCTAGTCTTCTGTGTAGTAGTGGCATTACATCGGGCGAGCCGGCCCATTCCTTAAAGCAGGCTCTACCACTTTTAAATGCTAGTGAATTATAATCGATTTTTTAACAATTGGCTTCCTCTAGTCTGTATATTAACGTATTTCAGTTTCAATACGAAGATATGTTCACGGTTGACTGGCTCACACCCTCCCTTTACAATCATTTGATAGACTTTTGTGCAGACATAACCTGTCTGGTGTTATAATTTAAATGACTACAGAATTAAAATCTTTGATGTGAAAAGGTTTAAATTACTAGCTTTAGCACGTGATTTTGTCTGCGTGGAATAAAAAAACAAAATATGCTATGTGGTTTTCCAGACTATCTTACTAATATTATAAATGCGAAAGTTTAGATGGATGGATGGATGTTTGTTAGAGTTTGTAGCCTAAACGACTGAACGGATCTCCATGTAATTTGGCATAGACGTAGAGGATACTCTGGAAGAACACATAGGCTACTCATTTGTGTTTTTTTTAATTCCACGCGGACGGAGTCGCGCGCGAAAGCTAGTCCTCTATAAACTCAGACATCCATCTTTCGCATTAATATTAGTAAGATTAAGTTATGACCGGAACGTATTCAAGTAGCTGGCATACTGGTCAGGTACTGGCTTTATAGTTTTTTTAAGTTTAAATTATAACCTAATATATCATAATTTTTTTTTATTGTTTATTCACTTTTTTCAAATATCCATCATGGTTAAGTCACCCAATTTGTGTGTAAATACCTGTGTGTAAAGGGACCAGCTGAAAACCAGCTCAGAAACGGCCTGCGCCGTCTCTGCATTAGCTGAGCTGGCCGCCTTTTGCCACGCTTTCTTTTTTTTTTACTAGCTTTAAGGTTGATGTATGTAAGATTTTATTTGTAGCTTGTTTTTGTGACAATAAAAGTCCTATTTATTTATTTACGAGCTGTTGCCTGCGACTTCGTCCGCGTGGTATTAGAAAACATACGAACTATATAAATTACAAAAAGCTACGTATCCCTCAGGAACCGATCATTTCTCGGGGATGAAGCTTATCCCATGTGTACTCCAGACTTTGTTTTATATCTGTGCCAAATTTCAATAAGATATGTTGAACCGTTGTAGAATGATCGAGTAAACATTAAAAAACTAAATTAATGAATCCCACGGGAACCGTAACTATTCACGCGATAAAAAGTAGCCTATGTGTTCTTCCAGATTATGCTTTAAACCTGTGCTAAATTTCATGGAGATCCGTTCAGCCGTTTAGGCTACAAACGCTAACAAACATCCATCCATCCATCTAAACTTTCGTATTTATAATATTAGTAAGATTTTAACTGGCACGTACTTATAGCTTTCAGTGGAATATTGAGATGAGAACAAAGTTATTTAGGTTAATTGATGTATTACTTTCAATAGGGAAATAATTTCCAAAAGATATACAAATTGGAATTCAATATATTTAATAAGCATCTATATTTCTATATGAAATTATAATTGACTAATTTTCGTATAATAGGATTAAGTCTTCCCTCATTTTGAAACACGTGACTTTGAGGTTATAAAAATTAGGACAAATATTAAAAGTAACAAGATAAAATGGTATGAATTTTAACTATTTTTTTTTTATTACATAAGGTGGCAAACGAGCAAGCGGCCACCTGAAACCGCCAAAATGGCGAAGCTACCGCTGCCCATAGACATCCGCAATTGTAGATGCGTTGCCTACCCTTATACGACGGAGGAGGAGACGCACATAAAGAAGATATTTCCCCTTCCTATGCATCTCTTTCACCGTCAAATCCACTTCCTCTTCCCAACCTCTCCTTATAAGAAAAGGGTGGCAAAGAGAAAGGGACTTAAATTAGGCCTCCGGCATCACACTCATCAGACGAAACACGGAATTGCTTCCATTTCACGCCTGTCTTTTATGTGGTCGTGGTATTACTGGGGGCGTGCCGGCCCTGCAGTGCTAAGATGTTAAAGCGGGCACTACCACTGTTAAAATATTACAATTACTAAAATCTTTTTTATTTGCTAAACACACATACTAATATTATAAATGCGAAATTTTAAATGGATGGATGTTAGAGTTCGTAGTCTAAACGGCTGAACGGATTTCGATGAAATTCGGTATAGATGTAGAGGATAGTCTGGAAGAGCACATAGCGTAGTCGCTTTTTGACCGACTTCCCAAAAGAAGGAGGTACTCAATTCGTTTGTATGTTTTTTTATGTGTGTTACGGCATAAACCCGCCGCTAGTGGACTTATTTTGATAATTCATTTTTTATTCGAAAGGTAATGCTTGCAGGTGGGTCCCATTTTTTTGTTTGATTTTTGGAGTCAAAGACTACCTCGTAGTTAAATAGTTTAGCTAAAATCGCGCGATGAAATTTAGGGTCAATTTTGCTTTCTTTGCTCAAGTTTTTTTAATTACATGCGGTCGGAGTCGCGGGCAACAGCTAGTAACACATAAATACAAATGTTTCCTCTTTATAGCATTAGTACAGATGTATAGATTACTTACCTCGTCAAACCTTCTGATTAAAGTTCTAACAGTACTTCGTGCTTGCGGTGTGTGTGTGGGCGGTGCTCGGCGTATCATTTGTCGCTCGCTGACCGCGCCCAAGACACCTTCTCCGCCAAGGTTCAGTGTCACTTGACGGAGGTAGTCGATAGGTGGCACCTGGAGCAGACAGAATAACTTAGAACACATACATACAACATATAGAGGATTGATTCTTCATTTTAAACGTTTTTATGTTAAGTCGCGATTTGATTCATATGAGATTATATGGAGGTGGGCTACTCGATATTTAGTTGTGCAACTAAACAGTTGAAGGCTGAGAAACAATCGACAATCGCACAACTGTTGTGCGATGTTTTTAAGTGAAATAATAATTAGGTCAAACTTTTTCATTCGCTTAATAATACACTTGACCGTGTTCAAACAAATGCCAAATTTCGCGGATGACTTGAACAATTAAAATTGTCATCAAGATTTCCTAATTGGTGGCAGTTTGGTTGCCAAAATATTGAAAAGTATAACCTTTTTATTACATACTAGCTTTCGCCCGCGACTCCGTCCACGTGGTATCAATAAAAAACAAAATAAAGCCTGTGTGTTCTTCCAAACTATCCTCTACATCTATGCCAAATATCATCAACATCTGTTCAGCCGTTTACGCTACAAACTCTAACAAAAAGATATCCTCTTTCACAAAATCCATCCATACTTTCTTCGGTCTTCTTCCTTTGTAGCCATCCACATTCATTCTTAACACTTTCTGGTTTATGTCCTCATCGTCTCGTAACATGTCCATACCACGCTAACCTTTTGCTTCTCAATTTCTCCACCACTGGCGCTACTTTCAAACCTCCTCTAATATACAAATTCTTATAAACTCACAAAGTATTCCGAGTATGCGACCAGACGGCGGCGGTCGATTTCCAAGTAATGATCTAAGCTTATTCAATCATAAGTAACTATAATTGACATGTTATTGTGTACTGAGTATATTAACTTGGATGACTTAATCCCCCTTCTATCTTACTAATATTATAAATGGGAAAGTTTAGATGGATGGATGGATGGATGTTAGATTTTGTAGCCTAAACGGCTGAACGGATCTCGATAAAATTTGGTATAGATGTAGAGCATAGTCTGGAAGAACACATAGGCTACTTTTTATCCCGGGAATAGTTACGGTTCCCGTGGGATTCATTAATTTAGTTTTTTAATGTTTACTCGATCATTCTGCAACGGTTCAACATATATTATTGAAATTTGGCACAGATATAAAACAAAGTCTGGAGTACACATGGGATAAAGTTCATCCCCGAGAAATGTCCGGTTCCCGAGGGATACGCTTTTTATTATTTATATAGTTCGTATGTTTTCTAATACCACGCGGACGAAGTCGCGGGCAACAGCTAGTATTCACTAAACTATCGCACAACTGTTATGTGATTGTCGATTGTTTCCCAGCTTTCAACTGTTTAGTTGCACAACTAACAATCGAGTATAGTTTGTCTAAATAATATAGATTAGTTTGACAATTCAGTAGGGATGGGTTGTGTGAAATCAGGCATGAATCTTATCGATTTTCGATTTTTATTCTTATAGAAGTTGGAAGCTTTAGGTTTATAGTTATAACTTGTGAATTAAAAAACACTGTTTTCTGAAATTAATAATGATCTGCAGAACCATTACAAATAATGTGAGTAAATAAATATTTATTACTACTACAGCCGTACGTAATCGAATTGGATTTCGCTATTATTATTGTCACTGCTAAATTCTCTACACTATAATCAATACTAGAATTGTTCTCTAAATTAGTTAATAAGAAGATAATAATTTTGATTAAGTTCGATAAATTTTATTTAAACCGAATATCGATAGTTCATAGTTCGCTGCGTGTTTCGTCCCTACTATACCTGTCTAAGTACGGCATTTGCCTTCGTACAAATTGAATTCGATACTTCATATGCATCATTTATCAAACTAATCTATCTTATTTAGACAAACTATATAATAGGAATGAAAGTGGCACTAAACAGTTGTGCGATAGTTTATTCAAAGGTGCGCATGTTCTAAGAGTAAAATTGTCCAATACCGCCATCTTGGCAAAGTGTCTTCAGTCTAAACGGCCACTCGACCCAAATGCTACCAAGAGCGGGTCAGGGTCACAATGTTACATTGAAAAAAACAGTCATATCTTTTAAAATCTTGCAAATATTATAAATGCGAAAGTTTAGATGGATGGACGTTAGTTTGTTGGGTAAACGGCTACACGTATCTCGATGTAATTTGGCATTGATTTAGAGGATAGTTTGGAAGAACACATAGGCTACTTTTTTTAATTCCTAGCGGTAGGATTTGCAGAGAACAAATAGAAACAAGGAGATCTTTCAAACAACGCAAAGGATCATGATGCAGTTTTTTTAACAGATAGAATGATTCAAAAGGAAGGTAGTATAACTAGGTTTCTCCAGCGACTCCGTTCACGTGGAATAAAAAAACAAAAACAAAAGTGAGTGGCCTATATGTTCTTCCAGAATATCCTGTACATCTATACCAAATTTCATCGAGATCCGTTCAGCAGTTTAGGCTACAAATTCTAACAAACATCCATCTAAACTTTCGCATTTATAATACTAGTAAAATACAGAAAAGATAGATAAATTCAAAGGTTTCTAATATAATGTTAATAGTATAAGCATTGAACAGGTGTGAAGCCGGGTCGGTTCGCTAGTAGATATGAATTAGTTAATACACGGGCAATATGCAAATAGGTTTTTATTATTCCAAATGTAACGCCAGATGTGCGTGGCATATCGTTAACGAGCGAAAATAGGATGATTTCACAATAACATTATTAGAAAAAAAACAATAATTCTTGGCATGCTTAGTTATTGTGAATTTCGATCTTCTTTTCGTTATTCATTTGTCATTTTATTCCAGAACTTTCTCGAACATTCTCGAAGCCGTTTCGAATATTCGAGACATTTTTCCATGAACGTTATTTTCGCTACTCGCGGCGATCGAACGTTCTGGAAACGGATCGATTATTCTTCGAATATGTTCTTTCGCTACTTAACAATAGATGATGTCGCGACACTATTATCATGAATAAAAGAGATTCAAATATATAGGGACACTAGCTACCGCCCGCAACTCCGCGTGGAATTAAAAAAACAAAAGTAGATTTAGAACAATCGGGAAGAACACATAGCTATAAAAGTTTTTCTAATTCCACGCGTGTATTCACACCCTTACAATAACATCCCTGTACAGAGTACGGTTGTCATAAATAACTGACCCTTGAACATTTGTATAGCTGCATCTCTTTCACACTCATATATCCGACAGAGACGGAAGATTAGAACCTTTTTTGAATTCCGAGAATTCCAACTAAACGTTTTATTTCTTATATAAATTTAATGAAAAAGCTTTCCTGCGTAAAGACTGAATAAAAATATTGCAAAAACAAGAGAAATCTTACTAATATTATAATTGAACCATGGTAGAGCCCGCTTTAACATCTTCACACGAATGGGCCTGCTTGCCCGGTGTAATACCACGACCACACAGAAGACAGGCGTGAAGTGGAAGCAATTCCGCGTTTCGTCTGATGAGTGTGGAGCCGGATGCCTAATTTTAGTCCCTTTTCCTTTCCACCCTTTTCTTAAGAGGTATGGATGGGAAGGAAAAGTGGATTTGACGGTGGAGGAGACGTATACGGAGGGAAAATGTACTCTTTATGTGCGTCTCCTCCTCTGTCAATCAAGTGTAGGCAGCACATCTGCAAGCGGATGTTTATGGGCAGCAGTCGCTTTCCATTTCGGTGGATTCAGGCCGCTTGCTCGTTTGCCACCTTATATTACATAAAAAAAAATAAGCATATTAGAGGAAGTAACCCCAGTGGTAGAGAAGGTAAGGAGTAAAAGGTTAGTATGGTATGTTCTGAGGAGGGATGAATCGCATGTTACAAGGAGAACATTAGTTACGAGTACACCGGTAGAGGTAGATATAGAAAGAGATGGATTGCGTGAAAGGTGACATGATCAAGAAGGGAGTGATGACTGAGATGACGGATGATAGAGTTATTTGGAGGACGAAAACCCGGTGCGCCGACCTTACGGGAGTAGGATAAGGCAGGGGAAATGAATATTATAAAGAAGAAAGAAGAAATTAATTTAGTTTTTAAATGTTTACTCGATCATTCTGCAACGGTTCAACATATCTTAAAGAAATTTGGTACAGATATAAAACAAAGTCTGGAGTACACATGGGATAAGCTTCATCTCCGAGAAATGTCCGGTTGCCGAGGGATACGTAGCATTTTGGAATTTTTATAGTTTGTATGCTTTCTAATACCACGCGTACGAAGTCGCGGGCAACAGCTCGTAGGTCATATTTTCATTATTTTATGTAGACGAAGTCCCGAGCAACAGCTAGTAATGATTTTGTTTTGTAATTTCTTAGTATTTCCATTATGAAGACCGTTTCATTTGTCTATTAAGTCTAATGGGATAATTGAAGAGATATTAAACGACAGACAGGACAATTTAAAAATAATTATTCTCGAGATAGAAATCTTTTAGAATAATTACGTAAGAAAATAAATTACGTTCAAGACAATTTCAGAGAATATTAATTTTTTCAATGAAAACTTATAAAGAAAATATTTTAGTACAATAAAACTAATAAACTCAAAAACTACTGGAACGATTTAAATAATTATTTTACTATTATAAAGCTACATTATCCCTGATTTTTTATATTATAAGTTAGCAAAGAAATTCGGCGAGAAAGCGAAGCGATCAGCTTATATGTATGTGTGCTCATACATCTGCAATTTCACATACGTTGCCTTCTCTTAATCGATGAAGGAAACGCAAATAAAGAAGGTATTTCCTTCCTTTACTTGCCGTATAAGAAAATGGTGGAAAGGGAAAGGGGCTGATATTAAGCCTTCAGCACCGGAATTGCTCCCACTTCACGCCTGTCTTCTGTGTGGTCGTGGTATTGCTGTGGCGAGCCGACCCATTCGTGCGAAAATGTTAAAGCGGGCTCTACCACTGTTAAAGTTATCTATACTTATATATAGGCATATACTAGCTTTTGCCCATGACTTCGTTCGCATGGAATTAAATATAATACGTCGCCTTTATGCTTTTCTATAGTTCTACATATGTGTCAGGTTTCATCAATTCAAACCACGTTAAAGAAGCGTTATTCCATACAAATGTATTTAGTATGTTTATACGATATTGCAAAAAGAAAGAGTATTTTCTCGCGCATTGTTGCATTTTTAGCTCTATGCGAACGAAATAAGAGTGATTTTAGAGCGAGAGTTTAAAAAAGCAACGCCGTGCTTGAAAAACTTTCGTGCGAATGAGGGTTTAAACCAAAAAATGTGTTTTAAGTAAATCTTTTTTAAAATTCTTATAACTAAGTACAATATAAGTGAGATACTTGGGGAAGAATTTGCTTGACACTATCCTAATATCTAAACAATGGATTTTGGGACACCAATATCATATTACGTAACATAAGGTGTGTTACACATTAGAGTGACACAATTTTTATGTCGACTAAACTTGACCAAACTAAAGTAGTTTCATATAGTAAAATCTAAAAATAAAAACTGAATTAAATATTATTACTTGGTATGATGGTAGAAGAGCTTTTTATTGGTAGTTTTTTTTAATAGTTAAGTAGTTTTTGTAGTCAACTGTAGCGACACATATCTTTGAATTTCTTCGCTGATATGTGCATCACGTTTCCTTCACCGTAAGAACGTTGGGAAAATTATGTACATCATCATCACCACCTCATTATATGTCCCCAATGAGGGGCCCGGAGCCTACTCTAAGTTAGGGTGACTAGGCCTTTTTTTTTTCTCGCTAGAAAAATGCCTTTACGCATCCCCCCGTTGCCACGGTGTATGTGGGACTCGCCGGCCAGAAGATGGAAAATGGCCGGAATACCCACTAAAAACCCACCCAGTGTTTCTTCTGTCCGCCAGTGGCTGGTTCAGGAACGCTTGCGCTTTCTTCGGCGACCCAGCCAGCGTCGTCCGCGTTAGCGGACTCCGAGAGTGACTAGGCCTTAGTCAACCACGCTTGGCCACTGCGGGTTTGTTGACTTCACACATATCTTTGAATTTCTTCGCCGATATGTGTAAGTTTCCTCACGTTTTTATTTACGAAATTTCGATAATGGATGGATTGTGTGAAAGAATATATGCCTAAGAAAGGAGTGGATTCAGATATGACTGATAGAGATGTATGGAGTAGCACATACTCTGCCAACCCTCCATAAGGGATAAGGGCAAGTGGGTGATGATAATGACGAAATTTCGATAAATCGAAAATCACATTGGTACGGCGGGATTCAAACCCAAGACCTGTAGACAAGTCAAATGCTTAAACCACTTAGCCCGACGCTCTTTATTTACTAAACATTAGTAATAATATAACTACGTCGTAGTCTTAGACTCCAAAAATCAAACAAAAACATGGGACCCACCTGCAAGCATTACCTTTCGGATAAAAAAATAACTATCAAAATCGGTCCACTAGCGGCGGAGTTATGCCGTAACACACATAAAAAACAGACAGAATTGAGTACCTCCTTTTTTTGGGAAGTCGGTCAATAAAATATGGTCTATGTTACTTACAGATAAATTACCTTTCTAATGGTGTAAGATTTTTTTAAATCGGCCCAATAGTTATTGAATTATTTCAATACATACAAAAATACAAATCTTTCCTCTTTATAATATTAGTATATATTACGTATTATTATCACACTAATGTGTTACGAGCTTTATATTTGTGAAACATAATATTATAGGGATTCCTGTAATGCTCTAGTTCGGTATATGAGTAGAATTTCGTTTATTTTCTTTGTCTTATTTGTACTTGATGATTGCTTCTATTTTATAGAGCTGGAGGATTTCCTTCCCCAATATATTTATCCTATACTGATATTATAAGGAGGAAAACTTTGTATTTTTGTATTTTTTTGTATGTATTGAAATAACTTAAAAACCACTGGACCGATTTTAAAAATTCTTTCACCACCAGAAAGGTAATTTATCTGTGAGTAACATAGGCTATATTTTATTATTACTAATGTTTAGGAATTATTAATAATCAGCGTGTTTCTGGACGCAGGAGTTAAAAATTAACTAAACTTTAACTTTTCTCGGCTTATGCTGCCGAAACCGTTAGAGGTATATAAAAATGATGTATGAAAGAATTGTAGATCTCAAAAAGTTCTAAAGAAAAGTCCACGATTGCACATCTATCTTTAACGGTTCTCTTACAATAACCACTTTTGTTTACAAAATGAATTAAAAACCTCACGCTATTTGCAGCGTTCTTTTATTAGTTTCAATATTAATCCTTATCCAAATAAATGCGTTTGTTATCAGGAGAATTTAATGTAGAATAAAATTGTCCTTTACAGTATTTAAATTGGACCAATAGTTTAGAAGATATCACAAACACAAACAATAAGGGTAACCGAAAAATCAGCTTACAAGCTACCGGGCTTAGAAATTTGAAATCTTGCTTCGGTACATTTCTGTTATTACGTAGATTACTACTAAGTTAATATTTTTGGTAATCGATTGAAAAAAAGGGCGAACGTAATAGGTTATATTTGTTATTTCACGCGGGCGAAGTCGCGAGCAACAGCTAGTAAAGTATATTTAGTTATGCCTTTGACTAAAATCGAGAAACTGTTGTGCGATTGTCGATTGTTTCTCAGCCTTCAACTGTTTAGTTGCACAACTAAAAATCGAGTAATGTTCACCTCCATATCTTACTAATATTATAAATGCGAATGTTTAAATGGATGGATATTTGTTAGAGTTTGTAGCCTAAACGACTGAACGAATCTTGATGAAATTTAGCATAGATGTAGTGGATAGTCTGGAAGAACACATAGGCTACTTGCTGTATTTTTTTTTAATTCCATGCGGACGTAGTCACGGTCGAAAGCTAGTAAGCTCATAGGAATCAAAGCCAAACTAAACAGATGCGATAATTTAGTTTCAGGTGTTCGCACGCTCTTATTTTTTTCTTTTAAAGTTAGAAATCCTTCCTGAAACTCTAGAATGTCGACGCGACTCTTTAGTAACATATCCACTTGACAACCTCTTACAATAATGACAACATTCTCTCCATTATAAGTTTTGTGTTAACGAACAATACGTTCGTATACAATGAGAATTAATCTAGGCAGCCTGGATGACCTGCGCATCTAGGTCGCTCACAGGTAACATGAATAAAAACCCATATTGATTTATACTTTCTACTTATAAAGAGAAGGTGGCAAATGAACTTTGGGAACAATGTGACCATTGACAGCCACATTTAATACCAAAGGAACTACAAATTCATTGCCATTTCATTTACTTTAAAGTAGTTGTTGTCCATGACTTTGTCCACGAAATATTAAGATAAAGAAGTCGCCTATAATATCGTCTGTCAGCTACCCTTCAGTGAAGGTTTTGTTGAAATCGGCTCAGCCTTTTCGGAGATTAACAAACGCGGTTTGCGGACACACAGATAAAAAAAAAAGAAATGCGATTTTCGTTATCAGCAATCCAAACAAGGGCGGATCCAGGGGGGATCCAAGGTCATAGGGTCATGACCCCCCCCCCCGAGCTGGTTGGTCGAGAGCTTGACGAAATATATTTACATATTTTGTCAAGCTCTTGACTTGACCACGACTATGTGACCCCCTGGCGCCAAAGCTGGATCCGCCCTTGATTCCAAATACATCATCTTCCCGAAATCTGGAATTTTTCTTCTGATATTACAAACAGACATTTCAATCTTATTGAGTTTATAGATAGATAGTTATAGATTCTTTAGTCACTTCGTCTTTTCGGCGTTTGCTCATTTGATACTTTATCTAAAAAACATATCTTTTAAGTCAAAATTTAATAGCTTACCTGATAGAATATCTTATATTCAGTGTCCGTGAGCCGTAGAGCGACTTCTTCAGGGAAATGGAGAAGTGATCTCAGCGCTGCGAGCTCCTCATAGCTACCTTCCTCACCAGCCAGCGAGCCTGGAAAAGAATTTGATGTACAAACTTGGAAAAAAATAATAATAATAACTCATTTAATCCATTCAGAACGTAAAATAACATAACAAACATAACAAACAACAGAATAATCGAATATACACGAAGCACTTACATAATTGGCAAATGTAAAAAACAAACAAAAAAAAAAAACAAAACGTAAAGATATTTTATCAACTTTGGAGTGCTGAATGGATAAGGCCTTTACTCAGCTATGGTGCTTATTTGCAAAATAAGCGCTGATGTTCCGTAAAAGCCTTTACGTCAGAGCGTCAGTTGCAGCAGTAAATTTATTATTAGTAATTCGAGACCAAGAAAAAAAAATAATTAAAAGAAGCAGGGGAGTTACATAATTTTATGCCGGCTATAAAAAGAAATAAAGAAAAACCTTATAATTAATCGTAAAACTGAAATCTGTCCAGTATAACAGTGTGACTAATTTATATATAATAATATAAAAATACACCATTTTAAATGCGCGCACACCTTCGACTAAACTGTATCGCAACTGTGTAGTCTCGTTTTAATTCCTCATCATCATCATCATATCCACTTACCCTTATCCCTTACGGAGGGTCGGCACAGTATGTGCTGCTCCATACATCTCTATTAGCCATATCTGAATACACTCCTTTCTTACGCATATCCTTTTTCATACAATCCATCCATACTTTCTTCGGTCTTCCTCTTCCTTTGTAGTCATCCAAATTCAATCTTAACACTTCCTGGTTTATGTCCCCATCATTTCGTCGCATAACATGTCCATACCACGCTAACCTTTTGCTTCTCAATTTCTCCACCACTGGCGCTACTTTCAAACTTCCTCTAATGTACACATTCTTAACTTTATCTCTCTCGTTTTGATTCTTACGAGCTTATATGGAGGTACACTACTCCTTTAGTTGTGCAACTAAACAGTTGAATTAAGAAACAATCGCACAACTGTCATGCGATAGTTTAGTCAAAGTGGGCACACTAACTAACCTATGTGTTCCAGACTATCCTCTACATCTATACTATTATAATAAAGTGTAAACACACACTACTTTGTGACGTAAGATGTCAGCAATCACAGCATATTTTCGAATAATTCTTTTTGTCTTAAAAAGCTATACACTTAAGTCACGCTATATATTTTCACGTTGTTAAACTTAGGGTTAAATATTTTGGATAAAAACCCTAATGTGGGAAAGAGACCATAAGTTGCTGCCAACATCAAGGAAGCAAGATTGCCATAGTAAGGTAATAGGTATTTTGAAATTTGCAATTATTTGACACATGTAAACAAAAAAAAAAGTTTTCCCAATTTTATGCGGATGAAGTCGCAGGAGAACAGCTAGTTTATAATATCAGTAAGATTGTAATATGTAATTTAACTTCAATAAACTAAAGAAACTTGTGTATGTTCTTTAAGATATCAAATTTTCTAGCCACAAAAGAAACGCTTCGAGCGAAGTTTGGAAGTTTTAGATTTCGTGGTAACAGACCGGGTGTGTAAAGGTGTGAACACACTAAAGTATGACACCCATTGTTTGTGAATATAGATAACTAGATTTCACCCGCGACTCCGTCCGCGTGGAATTAAAAAAAAAACGAAAGTGAGTAGCTTATGTATTCTTCCAGACTATCCTCTACGTCTATGCCAAATTTCATCGAGATCCGTTCAGCCGTTTAGGCTACAAACTCTAACAAACATCCATCTAAACTTTCATATTTATAATATTAGTCCGATTATTGATCATAAAGTATTAGCCCAATTTAAATACTGTAAAAGAAAATTTTATTCTACATTAAATAATTAACGAATTTTATATGAGGACGGAGCCAATATAAAATTTGTTACATGGCGGGATTTAAACCAGGACTTGTAGATTACATGAATTGCTTAAACCACTGAGCCACAGACGCTTTAACAGTGGTAGTGCCCGCTTTAACATCTTAGCACGAATGGGCCGGCACGCCCGGTGTAATACCACGTCCACACAGAAGATAGGCGTGAAAATGGAAGCAATTCCGTGTTTCGTCTGATGAGTGTGGTGCCGGAGGCCTAATTAAAGTCCCTTTCTCTTTACCGCCCTTTTCTTATAAGGAGAGGTTGGGAATAGGAAGTGGATTTGACGGAGGAGGAGATGCATAGAAAGGGGAAATATCCTCTTTATGTGCGTCTCCTCCTCCGTTGTATATTGCTCGTTTGCCACCTTATGTTATAAAAAAAGACGCTCCGACTTACAATGACTCAACAATTACTGGTTTTCTTCCTTCTTGTGTGAAAATAATGTATTATTATAAAATGTTATTATTGTTCTCAAGCTAATGAAAAAAACAATCTGATAACAATAGGTTGTGATGGAACAAGGCAAATAAAGGCGGGGAATGAAAATGCACGGAGATTTATCATGAGAATACAAATGAACTAGCTACAAAGAGATACATATTTAAATCTATAAAGCCGTAATACTATAACCGTAAGTTTCCATTGCCTAAACAAATATCTTTGTGATCAACGCGAACGCAAAACAGAAAACAGACCGTGAATAAAATTCACAGGTAAAAGTTATTTATCACGGTTATAAATTATACAAATTAATAATTTCACATTTTCATATTTTCGTAACAAAACCAACAAAGATAAAACAGTTTATTTTAACAAATAGCTTCATTACATGTAACTGGAGAGAATAGTTAATTTGATATCATCAATTTATCAGCCGGGACGGCCGCAGCCAGGTCGGGAGAAGTCAAAATACGTATAATTAATTACATCAGCTTGTAAATAGGTCAAAGATACGTTAAAGGAAAACCGAGCAAACCAGTCCAGCCTTTGGTCTTTTGAAAGCGTCCTTTTGATCCATTCAAAAACATTGATAATTAACAGATTTACTTTAGTACGCTAACTTCTAAAATTTGTTTATAAAACAATGCCGAAGACGCTGGATTAATTTAAATTTCTATTCGGTAGCATATTGTCAATTCATTGAAAACTTGAAAGGAAGTTTGTTCAAAGTTTAGTTAAACTAATTTTAAAATATAAATTTGTATGAACGACATTCCCGGTATCGGTAGTTTGTATTTAATATTTGATTGCGAAAAACATAAACCAAATTACCTTTTACTATTCAAGTTAAAAGCAAACAATGATCAAAACTTGAAAATACATTTTAACATTTAAAACATAGTAAATAGTAAGTGGCTCTTACAATACGCTTTTATAACGAGAACAAAGACCGCTTCGCAACGAAAGTGCGCTAATGTAGATTTATTATAATTAATATTTACGTGAACTGGAACACAAACATTAATAATGTTTAAATAACGACCTCACTTACAAAATTTATTCAGTCATCATCATTTTTTGTAATTACCGCGAACCAATCGAAGTTAAAAAGAAAACTGCAAAAACTACAAAGTAAACAAAGGATCGTGTTCTATTGGAGTTTAAATTATTATAATATACATAACTAGCTATAGCTCGCGCTTCGCCCGCGTGAAATTAAAAAAATAATGAAAAACATAGCCCATGTAGTCGCGATTGGCCGCCGACCCGTCGGCCGGCCGCCGTAGAGCTGGACCTGCGGGAGCTAGAGTCGTTCGACTGGCAGGCGACAACGCAGGACAGACGACGCTGACGCTCTCTCGTGTCGGAGGCCAAGACCCACTTTGAGTCGCTGCGCCAACGCAGTAAGTAAGTAAGTATTAGTCGCTGACAACGCAGCTTTTTAATGGTGAAAGAATTGTTGAAATCGGCCGAGTACTTTTTGAGTTATTTCAATACATACAAAAATACAAATATACAGCTATAACTAAACTAAAATATTTTTATTTTCCCCTACAGTACAGTGAAATAACTAAATTACGCTGTCAAGTGCAGTGCTATGTAATAAAAGTGTAACTACAAAATGCCTGGTAACATTCAAAAGGAAACTTTAGTGCAAAGTAAAATCTAGCTCAGAGAGAAATTAAATCAGTAGTCGAGGAAACTCGCTCACCTAATTACTAAATGAAAGCACACTTAAAATGTAATCTAACTTTAGCTAAAATGCACTTCGAAAATTAACTCAACAACAATTTATGAAAAGTTTAAAATTAGAAATTAAAGTAACATTTATTTTAAGCACACAATCGAATTAAACTTTAAGATTTATCATTCCATTTACAAAAATTAAAATATAAAACAATTAATCAATTCGAACGTAAACAAACAAGTTCAACGCATTTATCATTACGTCAAATGTCTACCTATGTGTTAATACGAGTACTTATGTGTTAAGGGACCAGCTGAAAAACGCAGTAACGGCCTGCGTCGTCCCTGCGTTATCTGAACTTGCCACCTTTTGCCACATTTATTTTTTTTTGTACTAGCTCTAAGTTTGTTAAATATTAAATTTTTCCCGTAGCTTTTTTGTGGCAATAAAAATCCATTTTTTTTTTAAATGTAGAAATAGCTTGGTTAATCTTACATACAATTTAAATTCATTTTTAACATAAGTCGCATTACTTCTAGAAGTCAAACTAAATACATTCAAATAAAGAGCGTGTTTTGTATTCCTGCCAAGATATTCACAAAAGTTAATCCTATAAAAAACATTCTTTACGATCCTTTGTAACAAAAGGTTTTACATTTACATATATTGCCCTTGTTTTTACTGAACTTGTAAATATTAAGTATCTTTCAGAAGGTCGATAGGATAGTTACTTTAAGTGCCTATTTCCACTAGCTATATGCGAATTATTCTCTGTAACATCCGTCGCGCCTGTGGAAATTTGCGAAATCAGACCTTAATTCAAACGGAAAATATTTGACTGTTTCTTTGATTAAAAAAAAAAAAACTATCATCTAATCCTCAAGCTTATATTTAACTAGCTGTTCCCGTGCGACTTCATCCGCATAAAATTATGAAAATTTTATTTTATTGTTTACATTTGTCACCTTATCAATTGCAAATGTCAAAATGACATGACAACCTTGGCAATCTTGTTTCCTTTAT